AGTCAGACTGGTTCACGGTCCTCCCGTGAGGTCAGGAGGGTCAGGGGATCAGCGCTGTCTCCCCTACTCTGGTCTCAGAGCCTGGGGTGTAGCGTCCCTCCTCAGGAATAGAGATCCCGAGGCTGCACCCGTATTGATTCGGCACCCATTTCCAGTGTGTACGTGGGGGGTTTTTCCCACACCACTGGGCAACACTCTGACACCAGCCGGGTGAACCTACAATTCAAAAAAATTCTCACACTGTCTACCTGGATAGAACATCAGATCTCACAGATGAAGGGCTCGGTCCTACAAGATTGCCACCACCATCCCCAACTTCAGATACCCATAGCAAGTTCGGGTTGTTATCTGTGCTTCTGACGGACGGGCTGTGGATGGCAGGTTCCAACGACCTTCCCCTTGGGTCTGATTAATTTGCTAGCGTGGCTCATGCAGAGAAACATTCTACTTACTAGATCACTGGTTCATTGTAAAAGAGTATAACTCAGGTACAGCCAGATGGAAGAGGTGCACACCTTGACCTCAAGGTATGGGGGAAAAGGGCATGAAACTTCCATGCTTTCTGAATGCACCACTCTCCTTCCCCGCGTCTCCATTGTTCACCAACCCAGAAACTCTCTGAACCTGTCCTTCTGGGTTTTCATGGGGCTTTTTAGATAGGCACAGTTGATTACATCACTGGCCGTTGGTGATTGATTCAGCCTTTAACTCCTTTCCCCTCCCGGGAGGTTAAGGGGGTTGGACTGAAAGTTCCAACCTTTTAATGATAGGGTTGGTTCCTCCGGTGATGCGTCCCCAACCTTAGGTGAGTTCCTCAAGTCGTTACTCTGTTAACATAACAAAGACATCTTTGTCAACTCTCATCGCTTACGAAATTCCAAATGTTTTAGGAGCTCTGTGCCAAAGACCTTGAAGAAGAAATATACATTTCATGTTATAAATGCAATATCACAACCTCCCTTTAAATTACGTCGTAGGAGAGATGATGATTGTTGACTGCTTTTTTAATTCATTCAACAAACATTTCTTGGGCACTTGCCATGCGTCAGGAAGTGTGATGTGCTCCAGAGCAGAGGCTCAGAGACAACTATGTGGGGAAAAAATCGGCCGGTCGCTGCTTTCAATTTGCAATCCACTGCGGACTGGTAGGTGGTCCTACTTCATGGGATCACGTCACAGCTGTGCCCTCTGAGACTCGTCAAGCCCCACCTGAGGCTATGGTCCACCCATGTGCTCGGAAGTTGTGGCGAATTGCTGCAACAATTTCCAAATGCTTATTCTCACTGCCTATGCTTGTCTCAGACTGATAGCAACAGCTTGTGGACAGCACCAGCCTCCAGTCTGTACGTTGAGAAGCAGCACAGTAAGGACACTGGCTCATTCCTTTGATCACAAACACTGGTGTGGCGGGCACTGTTCTAGATGCAGGTGACACAGCAGGGAACAGAGTCAAGGCCCCTCGGCCCAGGGAAGAGTGATGGGAAGAGCCAGGAAAGACCCTGGATTCCTAGCTTGGGCCGCTCGGTGTCATTGACTGAGACAGGGACAATCGAGGAAGGGAGCAAGTTCAGGAGTAAGAGAAGATCAGTTTTAAGCATGTTGAATTGAAGGTAGGACAGAGCCAAGTCCTTCCTGGTGAGCTACCCGCAGAAGTGACCTGAGACAACAGCTCTGTGGAAACTGGTAGAACACGGTGCCAGCAGAAATCAGACCTTCACAACTGGGCCCAGGCATCTAATAAGAAAAGCTGTGGCTTTCTGAGCATTTGGAATGTGCCAGGAAGTTGTGGGCACTTCCCTACAGGAGGCCATTTATTCCTCAGAATGACTCTTCCAGGTAGGTAGTTGTCGTTATCTCAGCTTTACCAATGAAGAAACGGAGGGTCACAGAGGTCAGGAACTTGTCCAAAGAAACAGAGCTGATGGGAACCTTTACGCCACATACCTACTGCCTCCCACCTGCTGATGGCAGCCTCTGAAGGGGGTGCTGAGGGGAACTGGGATGTTCGGGGGAAAGTTGATAACTTCGATCTTGGGGAGAGATAGCAGGGTCTTGCCTGCTGCCTCCAGTCCAACGTTGAATAAATATCTGTGAAATGGATGTCCCTTGTTCCTCTGTCAAAGACTGAGCCCAGGCTGGAGGGGCCATGGGGCAACCCGATGTGGCATGGACAACACTGTCCCAAAACTCAAGAAGGGACATAGCCTGCTCCCATGTCCTCCTGGGCGAGGGCCCGTGTTACGTGCACACACGGGGCTCCTATGGCAGATCCGTAGAGTTCCAGGTGCTCCGCGATCGGGTCAGGGGAGTGTGGTGGGGAGAGATGGGCCTGGGAGCCAACAGGCTGTGGAACCTGAGTGACCCCATCTGAGGCCTACGGGCCTCGACAAGCTCACTCAGGGTCTGGCGGCCGTAGGACAGGCAGTGGCAGGTGTGGGCAGTGCTCCCGTGGACGTGGCTGACCGCCCAGCCTCTGAGCACCACAACTATTTTGGGCCCTGTTTTCCCTCCACTCACTCCCACTTCAACTGTCTTGCCCCTGGGGTTGCAGCAACTTAAAACTTAAAATGCTGACTTGACTTCACTCTCCTCCCTATGCTTTTCCCTTACTGGTGAGCCTGACTCCCCGGAAGCCGACCCTGCCCAGGAACGAAAGCACCCAGCCCATTCCAAGGAGGCCTTCCATGGCTGCCCCCACTCCACCTCAGCGGGGAGGTGCCCCGACTGCCCTGTGCATCTCCCCATGGAGCCAGGTGCCCCACGATTCCCGTTTCACCTTCAGTTAGGCACAATCCCTGTAAATAGGCCCATTAGTAGAATGGTATGTTTTGCATTTTGACCATACATTATCTGGAAGAAAAAGCAAGCTTTGGGATTACAACTGGTGGGAGGAACTAGGGGTGAGGTTAAGGAAAGTAGTCTCAGTCCACGTGTGCCTCAGTTTCCCCCTCCATATAGAAGGGAAAACTATGCTCTCGGGAATGTTCTCCGAATGACGAGCTGGGAGGTTTCTCGGACCGCATCCATGTCAACGGGCCATTTGGCAACCTCTTCCCTTGCTTCCCACAGCTACTACTTGGAAGTAAAAACAAATTCTCTTCCAAATCATTAATGGGGTGGCTCGTTTCCTGATCTGGCTCCATCCAGAATAAAGAATTCATATTACGAATTCATAATCTGAGTTATGCCTCCGGAGTGTGCTGATGGAGAGGCCCTGGCCGGGGGACGGCTTTCCTGGGGGTGTTGGTGACTAATGGTAAGGGAGGGAGCTGGTTGGGGCACAGACACCCTCGTTGGTCAGCTCCAGAGGGCAGTCAATCCCTCCCGGAGTTGTGTAGTGCTGTAGCTCCGTCCTGCCTGCAGGCTGGGCGACACCCTCTCTCGGGAGACTGGGCTTGTCCGCGGAGGTTGGTGGGGGTGGGGTGGGGTGCAGGGCTCTTGGAAGCCACCAACCAGGGTTCAGATGGCTGCAAGGAGAGCACTTTCAGCCTGGAGTCCTGGCACAGGGGATGCTGCCTTCTCAGTTAGAAATAGCTCTCCTGGGCCCAGAGGTGGGGGAAGGGTGACTGGGTCCAGGACGGGGTAACTGAGAGAATCAGAGAATCGGGCTGCAGGGCCAGAACGTGGAAGGGTCAGCAAGGCCTCCTGCAGGGCAGAGGCTGAGCTGAAACCCCCACCCCCCCTACCTGGTACCTGCGGGCCCTCCTCCAGACACAGTGTGCCCGATTCCCCTCCCCCTGAATCATCCTGTTTGTGGGCTCCAGAGGGCTCCCCGAAGGCAGCTGGTGTGGGCGGGCTGGTAGGACGAGCAGGGGGAGGTTACAGAAAGATGGGTTAAAGG